CTTAAATAAACGAATTATTACGCCTAGTCTGATCACCTGTTAACGAGAAGCAGATTGCCAGAATCCGGTCTTCTTACCCGTCATTTCATTGCAGCTTTTAATCACAAGCTAAAATGAGCTAATCTTTAACAGACATTTAATGGGGTTGCTTGTAAAATCTGCAACATCCACTTTATGTTACAAAAACAACAGCGCTGTGATAATTACTTGGTCCTGTTTTTGCTTGTTTGTTTATCTTTGCTGCGTAGAAAATGTGTTAAAACAATTTAGGGTAAATGTTTTAGCAGGAGGTCCTGTTGAACGGGGAATATATACATTTTTAAAATAATCACCTATTCTATTGTTTATAATACAGTATAGGATGGTTACATTTTCTGAATTGTTCCACTGACGTACCATACAGGAGCTAATGATAGATAATTTGCCTGTTCATCCAATTGGGAACAGTAACAATACAGATGGATATTCATTGCTGATTTTAAAATACAAGAAGCTATTTTCTTATTAGAAATCCATATTAATGATTTAGCCTAAATAGTTGGTTGCTGTTTATGCTAATTTGTGTTCTCTATTTTGGGCTTCAGTATGCTTACCAAAATATCTAGATTTTTCAAGATGGTGATTTTTTTTTCTGTATTTTTCTGCACAGAAGGATTAAATAATATGCATCTTTTTTATATTTGCAATAAATTTAAAGCAGTAAGTGATTAGACCCCTATGTTTGTGTAGAAACTTTTAAACCTTTGTTCTTTTCTACAGTGCAAATCTAGATCGGTTGTTTTGTGCACGTTTTTATATTGCAACAAATCAATCACTACTATCACATAATTTGCACTGTGAATTTTCGATGCCAAAGGAACTAGCTGAAATGGTAGTTACAATGCTTACATGGCACGCAAAAAATATTTTAAGGGTATAATGATATTAGCTTCGTTTTTTAAGAGTAGTGCGCATTTTGATTTGACCAGCTGCGTTTTTGCAGATTTCTATGGCAGGAAATCCCACAACTTGGATTGCAAGGAAAGGAAATAATCTCGCAGCGCAAATCATGGTTACATCTTGCTTTTCTAAAAGGCCAGGGTTAGATAGTCTAACAAACATCAAGCTAATCATCATCTCCATTTAACCAGTCTGGCAACTGAATGGATCTAGCAGAGTGTTTTCATAGCCGGATGCCCTTCCTGTCGCCAATGCGGAGTTTTGTCCAGCAGATATCTCAGAGGTCCCCAAACTTGGCAACTTTAAGACGCCGCTGGCTGAGCAATTCTGGGAGTTGAAGTCCACAAGTCTTAAAGTTGCCAAGTTTGGAGACCTCTGAGATATATTCTCAGCGTGCCCAGAACGAGAGAAATAATCTGCCTCTCCCTGGGATCGAACTCACAGCCTTCACATTGTGAGGCGAGAGCTCCGCCTCTAGGCCATCGCGCCCACTCCTGCAAACATCAAGCCGATATCTCGAAGCAAACATAGCGGACATCGAGATGCATGTATAACCAAGTAACATTTCAAAAGCAACTTTGAAGTCTTTCTCAAAGGACTTTCCAAAATTAAACATTTCCGTTGCATTTAGAATGGAAATAGTTGTGCCCCTGTGGGCATAAAGTGATGATGATCCTTGATTTGTGTGAACATCCAGGTGAAATCAAGTCCGGAGTCCTCAGGATTGGGAGTGTCCAAATTCCAGTTTATAATCCCTACGAGAGCATGAAAGTGCCTGACGTTCTTTTCTATGAAAACCCTCAAGTAAGTATCTCTTGATCTCGTTCTGATCTAGACTTCCTTAAGAAAGCATAAAACACAATTCTTAAGTCCCGGCAAAACCTCTTTTTTTATTTCCACGGCTGTGAATTATGTTCATTCACAGCCTGCCAGGCTTTGCAAACGGTCTTTCAGGGGAATGTTGATAAAATACCCACCTTATCGCACTTGGCCTGTGGTGGTTAGCCGGCAGCAGGCGCGGACAGCTGAGGAGAACGAGGACTCAGATGAGGGGCCAGGACCATCAGTGTGTGGCCTTCAGAGATTGTGGGGGCTGGCAGCAGCGATGAGGAGGTTCCCGAGGAGTTTGTGCCAAGTGTGTGTGCACAAAGGATTGCTCGCAGGAAAGAGCAGCTGCAACAGCACGGGCGACTCGGGAGTAAGGCTGCAAGGTAATGGCCCCTCCTTCAAGAAGATAAAAGCCAGCTGTGAAGCGAACGTTCTTTGCAGAAGGCAAAAACGTTTTGAAACTCCAGCCTCGTGGACATTCCAGTATCCTGTGTTTGCATTTGAAGATTCTTGTATTCCAAATTATTTCTTGTCTGTTATCTTTTGGCAGTCTGCACAGTTTGGCAAGGCTTGTGCTTATCACAGCTAATTGTTTTGTAGAAGCATTACAAGGTTTCCGTTCCTTTTGGATTGTGTTTGATTTGTTGGAAAAGGGCGCGAGTCAGAACAGAGGCCAGAGAATGAATTGCCAAGTGCAGGGCAAGGCCAAACTTGAATTTTTCAAAGTCAAACAGAATTTTTCAATGCTTGAACCAACAAGACGAACTTATTGCTTCCTGCAAAAGCTCACATCCCTTTGATGTCCTATGGGAGGGGCCAATCATCTCCAAGATGTGGCCTTACTCCTGAGTTGACCCTGCTCTCTCAATTGTTCTTGTCTTCTGACAGTCCTGTGCATGCGCAGGCTGGGAACCGGCGCCAGAAACTCCCCCACCTCACTGCCGTCTGAGTCTGAAGGCAGCTGATGACGGCCAGCCTGCCCTGGCCCCATCTCTGCCTCCGATGCAGAGCCCTCGTCCGAGCCCTCTTCAACCTCCAAGACCAGCCCAGGTTCCTCTCCAACCTCCTCACTACTCATTGTCCGACTCTGTTGCCAGCTCCGTCAGCTGCCGGCGGGCCCACAACAGATCTCCTCTTCTTTCAGACAGATGAAGACTATCTCTTGGCTGGTTGAGGTCCAAAACGGGTGCAATTTGGCATTTTTGAGATCCCCAAAACAGCTATTAGGGTGGAAGCTTGCCTGTTGTGAAGGGTGCATCCTATAAGGATAGGATATAAGATAGAAGGACCCTATCTTCAGTCTTCTCAAGAATAACCACACTCAGTTCCTTCACTCTCTCTTTATTGGACAGCTCTTTGTCCCCTCTGCACTTCTCTAAGCCTGTTCTAGGTTGACCTCATCCTTCTTCTAGTATGGCATCCAGGAATGGACATTCGATCCATCAAGACTGAATAAAGGTTTCCCCATAATTGCATGTTCTGACCCAGGCTTCGTCAAACGTACTTAAACACAAGCTTGTTTTAAAAGCAAAAGCTATTTTATTGCAACACTAGGAATTACTTTCATTCCCAGCCAGAACTAATTATAGTTCCCCAAGATAAGCACACGCCTTTCAGTGCTGTGAAATGCTGCCAAAAACAGAAGTCTCCAATTATCCCAGAAATCAATCGAAATACCAGAAAAAAAAAATGAACCAGAGCTTCAAGGAGGACTTGGAACTGATCAAACTACTTTGCTTCCTGCAAAGGTTTTGTCATCTTTGCCTGACTTTTATCTCTTATGGGAGGGACAATCACCTCCCTACCTTACTCCCAAGTCATCCCTTTTGTTTCAGCTGCTCTCACCTTCTAGCAGCTCTGCACACTGGGAAGAGGCTCCCCTTATTCCTCTGCCTTGCTGCTGCCAGGCTCCAGAATCAGCACCCCAGTCCCAGATGGTCCTGGCCCCATCTCTGGATCGGATGCAGGACCCTCGTCCGAATCCTCTCCAGACTCCCTGACTGGTCCCCGTTCTTCCTCTCTGTCCGATTCCACTGCCGTCTGCATCGGCTGCCGGCGAGCTAAACATTGCAAAACAGTTCTCCGTTGACCCAAGGATGCTTTTTTCAAGAGGCAACTGGAATTTTCTTTGTTTTTCCTTGAAGGCGTTTCGCTTCTCATCCAAGAAGCTTCTTCCATTCGGACTGAACGGTGGAGAATGGAAGGATTTATATTCCTTGCAGTCCTCTGGTCGTTAGCGCTCTTTCTGAGAGTCGTTGAGGCCACTTGGACAGATAACCAGATAAACTTCCAAGTGGCCTCAATGTCTCTCGGAGGGAAAATCCTAATGACCTGATGACGGCAAGGAATATAAATCCTTCCGTTCTCCACCATTCCTGCAGAACTGAAGAAGCTTCTTTGGGCGAGAAGCGAAACCCCTTCAGGGAAAAATAAAGAAAGCCCAATTCTTGGAATTGCTTCTTGGAAAAAGCACCTTTGGGACAACCATGTCCTGGAAGACTGAGAACCTGAATGGACAGCTCTTCATTGATTTAGTCAAACTGCATCGGCCTTTTCCGCAACGTATTAGGTTAGTGATTCAACTTTTATTATTTTTTTAACTGTCTAAAATTAAATCCTAAACTATTTTTACAAGCAAAATACAGCAGGGTAATAATCTCTATTCTCTAATTGTGCAGTGGATTTCTGGTTTTTTCCCAAGTCAAGAACTTTGCCTTTCTTTCTGTTGTGTGTCTTCAACTATATTTAGCTCAATTCTGGAACATATCCAAGAGCATTGGGAGGGCATTATTGCTGCCTTTTTAATTATTGTCTGTGAAGAATCTGGAAAATGTCTTCCGTTTTAAATCCCAAAGAAGGGTATTGTGTTCTCGGGGTTCTGATGAGCCATTCTTGATTGGATTACGGCTGAGTAGAAATGAAACCTGGAATATTCGTGTGGTTTCAGACATCAGTCCTATAAGAATTGTGGAACAGTTTTATGGAACGAGTAAGGTACATGGTGACACACACACACACACACACACACACACACACACACTTCTCCTAAACTCTTCATCATCTCCCAGTGCAGCATTACCTCTGGGTTGTCAACTCATAAAATATTTCTATGGTCTTTTTAAAGTTGCCAACAGAAAGGGAAAGAGGAGCAATGCGGCAGCTTGCAAAACCGAAACTGCATTCCATAAATGTTTTCAAAGATAGTAACTAGGTGACTGAAGTTTCTGCCAAGCAAAATGCTCATGATTGATGATTCTTGGCTACGGGTGTGTCCCATTGGAGGATATGAATTATGATACACCCAGGGGGTGAAGGGGAAACTAGGGTCAAGGGTGACAATGAATGATATGTCTCAGAGTCAGCTACGCCCAGGCAGTGCCGGACATGTTTACTCCTAATAAATCTTCTTTTAAGTTTTGGAAGTTTGGCTAGAGACTCATGATTTAATTGGGAGTAAGTGCCAGAGCCCTGACACGGGTCTGTTCACTCCCAAAGCACCTTCCTTTCTCTCCCTTCCATTGAAGTCCCTACCCAGAATAGCAGAACCATAGTAACAATTCCAATAAACAATAATATTTGTATCTCAGGCTTTGGTGCTTTCTGAGTTTGGCGGTTTTCTTGCAGACGTTTCATTACCCAACTATCATCAGTGCTAGAAGGGAGTGAGCATGGAGGGAGGAAGAGGATTGTGGGCTCCTTGGTGCTCTCTGAACTTGATAGTTTTCTTGCAGACGTTTCGTTACCCAGCTAGCTAACATCATCAGTGCTGGTGATGGTGTTACCTAGTTGGATAATGAAACGTCCGCAAGCAACCCAGCTCAGGGAGCACACAGGACCTCTTGTAGTAGTGATTGTACAGAAAGATAAAAAAATTTGTTTCTGCTGACTCGGAAGAATGATTACAGTATTCATAAGTGTTGTTTTGTTCCTTGCTTATTTCCTTTCCGATTTTAAAACATGAGTCTCTTTTCTTTATTAGCATATGATGGTGATGGAAGACATGTTAAAAGATTTTTTGCTCGGAGAACATCTCCTTTTAGTTGGTAACCAGGTAAGAACAATCAAACTTTATCAAATCAGTTTTCTACGTTTAAACATACAACATTCTTTGTACATATCAATTTCACTAAAATGTAAATGCGATTTCCACATAAATGTCAATAAATCTGGCTGCGGCCTTGCCCGAAATAATAAAACGGTTTAAGCTTCCTGCTCACTGATACCCTGTTTCCCTGAAAATACGACCTACCCTGAAAGTAAGCCCTAGCTTGATTTTTACACATGCGCCCAATATAAGCCCCACTCCCCAAAAATAAGCCCTAATTAAAATCCCTCCCATTCCAGAGTGGACGGGTAAAAATTAAGCTAGAGTGAGGATGAGAGAGGTTGGAACTTACCTTTGGACAGTTGTAGCCAGACCTCGCGCACCCCGACACCTGCCTTGCCAGCCCATTTCTTCTGCCACTGGCAAGGCTTTCCTGAAGGCCTCTGGAGCTGGTAACAAAGCTGTGGATCGATCCTGAGGCTGCAGGGGCCTTCAGGAATGCCTTGCCTGGCTGCAGAAGAAGAAGTTCCTGAAGGCCTCTGACAGCAAAAAGGAGGCTGGGGGTGACACACGCAAGTGAGGTGAGTCAGATAATGACATCCCCTGAAAATAAGACCTGGTGCCTTTTTTGGTGGCAAAAAAAATATATAAGACAGGGTCTTGTTTTCGGGGGAAACAAGACAGTAGCTAGACTGCCATTAGTCATAACTGAAGTGATGATACGTATGAGGAATTAGATAGCTCTCTGTGTGTGTGTTTTGTGTGTGTTTGTGTGTATGTGTATAAACAGTTATCTGGGAATTGTGTTTGGTTAATAAAACCTGGCTGATTTAAAATAAAACCTAGTTGCAGCTGTGATGGGATTTCATGCCAAAATCAATGCCTCCCTGGATATTTTACTATAGGTGGGTGGACATTAGGCAACTGATGAATTCTTTGCATGAAAAATATTCATAGAAAATCTTCCCTTTTAATTTAAGAATATAAATAAAGCTGTTTGTTTGCAAGTTAACGTAGGTTTCAAGTTTATTTACAATGTGCACAGGTAGTCCTTGACTTACCACCTGTGATGACAATAACCAAGTCACAAAAATAGAATAAAGTCCCTTTAATGCCTCCAACTTGGCCCCAATGTCCAATTATCCTCGGCTGGAGATCAAACTCTTAAAGAAAACAGCTTACGGAGGGGGTAAATGCAGCCCGCACCCAAAGTAAAGTTAGTTCGAAATAAAAAACCCAACACAAGCCACACTGAAGGAATTACTACGGTAGGCAAGGATGATTAATTGCAGACTTCTACCAGATAATGCAGCAACCACAGTTGGGAGGAAGCCAAAACATAGATAAGCTCTGACAAGAATAATGCACGCTTTGCTTCCAGCACTGGGCCATGAGCAGTTTGTCCTTTTAAACAGTCCTCCCAGCTGCAGCCCATGAAGGGGATCAGGGCCCCTTCCTCCCCCGTAAACCACGCCACTCATGTTTCTCATGTTTCAGATTCCAACGGGGGCATGACACCACTGTTCATTTAGTGACAGTTCAAAGCGACGAAGGCACTGAAAAAAAAAAGTGACTTCGCTTCACAACCATGTGATTCACTTAATGTCTGTGGCAAGAAAATGGGACCAAGCTGAGGGCTATCTGTAATGTAGCCGCGAGGCGTTTTCGGCCGTTAACCCTGCAGAAAATCAATCTTCCCTTTTGATTTAAAAATACAATTGACGCTGTAATGTTTGCCAGAAGCCCCTTGATTTAATACTGGTTTTATGTGGGTCTTAGCCTGATTGTAATAATGTTGTATGTAATCTCCAATAATGTAGCCTGGTGTTTTAGTGCCAGAAACTCAGGGCTATTCTCATTTTAGCTCCCGAAATTTGTAGTCTGTTTCTCCCTATCTTCACCCCTCAAATCATCCCTCATTTGTGGTTGCCTTGTGGTTTGCAGGGCGTGGGGAAAAATAAAATTGTCGACAGATTCCTTCACCTGTTGAATCGACCAAGGGAATATTTGCAGCTGCACAGGTAAGCCCAGCTTTGGATGGTGGGATTCTTGCTGTCAACTTTTGGGGTTAACAAAAGGCTTTTTTTTTTTTAAATTAAAAAACAAACCAACATTTATTTACATTTTATGTTTCTTAACTGCTCTCTCTGTCAGAGAGGGACTCTGGTTTCCCTTCAGATTCTGTATGAGTGTGTGTGTGCATACACACACACACACACACACACACACACACACAATCTGAAGAGTTTTTATATATCTCTGTCTGTCTGTCTGTCTATCTTCCTATTCTATCTCTATCGACCTATCTTTATCTATCTCCCAATTCTATCTCTGTCTACCTCTTTTTATCTATCTGTCTATCTTATCTATCTCCCTATTCTATCTCCAATTCTACCTACCTATCTATCATCTATCTGTCTGTCTGTCATCTATCATCTTATCTATTATCTATATCTATCTGTCTATCATCTATCATCTCGATCATTTATACCTATCATCTATCATCTATATCTATCTATCCTCTATCTATCTATCATCTGTCTATTTGTCTATCATCTATCTATCATCTATATCTAGCTATCATCTATTATCTATCTAGCTATCATCTACATCTATCATCTCTCTCTCCGTGTGTGTGCGTGTGTGCCCAAAATTGGTCGTCATATTGGGCAGAACTCATTTAAACAACCGCTTAGCAATGTTAATTCTGGAAGAAAATCTTTACTGTGTTCATAAGTCGAGGACCGCCTGCATTCCAGATCTGCTTAACGCCCTTAGGTTTCTCCAATTGGAATCCAAATCCCCAGCTTGAATATTGTGGCTTTTTGTGGCATCTGCTACTCGCCTTTAGGTGGGTGACCTACAAAAATCAGCTAAAAGGGATCTGAAACGAACTGCCTCCTTCTGTGAATTAGGGAGTAGAAAAATAGGACAGCGTGCTAGAAAATGCAGCTTCCCCCTCCCTCTCTCTTCACACACACACACACACACACACACACACACACTTTCCACACAATGCACTGATAGCTGTCAGCTGGGATCTTTGTGTAGAAACCTGTGCCTATTTTCCTTCCCTAGGGACACCACCGTGCAGAGCCTGACGCTGCAGCCTTCTGTGAAAGAGGGCCTGATCGTGTATGAAGACTCTCCCCTCGTAAGCCTCCCCGCGTGGACCACGGCTTGTCCTTCCCCTCGGTGAACTCTGAGACACACACACACACACACACAAACACACACACAGCCGGGACTTCGTGCTGTGGCCCTCGCGGAGTGGAGCACCTGATGAATTCTGGGCTCTCCTCACGTTTTAAGAAAACGGAGTCTTAAATACATTGCATTATACGTTACAATACGTTTTTAGGTAGATGATAGATAGATGGTAAGTAGGTAGGTAGGTAGGTAGATGGACGGATGGATGGACAGATGAAGAGAGACATAACGAAAGATGGACAGCTGGATAGAGAGGTAAGTAGATAGATAGACACAGACAGACAGACAAAGGCGGAGAAAGAGAGAGAAATAGACAAACAGACAGACAGATAGCGGAATATAGACAGAGAGATAGATACAGAGAGATACAGAGACAGAGAAATGGACAGACAGACATAGATAGAGATACAGACTGACTGACACACAGAGAGAAAATAGATAGATACTGGTAGATAGAGGGAGTGATGGGGGAGAGATACAGAGATAGATAGACAGACAGAAATACATACAGACGGACAGATAGATAGACAGACAGACAGAAACTTAGATACTGGTAGATAGAGGGAGAGATTTAGAGAGAGGGAGAGAGAGAGCATGATACAGAGATAGACAGAAATACATACAGACGGACAGAGATAGATAGATAGATAGATAGATAGATAGATAGATAGATAGATAGA